AAAAAAAAAAAAAGTTGGCTGGGTGTCCATAGTTCAGTGGTTAGAGTGCTGACCCCGTTACACCAGAGGTGGTGGGTTTGAACCTGGCCTAGGCCTGCTAAACCAATAAATAAATAAATAAATACAAAGCTAATTTGAAGCAGAACTGATAGGGTTGGCCCAGGGCTATGTGAGTAAACATTTAACAGCCAGCTCTTTGGATAAAAAGGTCCTGATTTGCTGCATTTCATGATTTCTGTTGGTGTAGATTTTTCCACTGTGCCCTTTTTGAAGCTACCAATATGACATCACTTAATGCAAAATTGAAAGGAGAGGTACATAATTGGCCTTCGTGAGCTGGTCTCAGCTGGCTACTGCATGCCACTGGCTTCATTTCAGAAACATTTGTCCAAACCCTTCCTCTTGGGGGATTCCCTAAATGTCAGTATCCAGTATCCGTAAGTCCCTTTTTTCTTATTGCCCAGGCTGGAGTTTAGTGACACAATCATAGCTCACTGTATTTATTTACTTTTTTTGGGGGGGGGGTACAGAGGCTTACTTTGTTGCCCTTGATAGAATGATGTGGCATGATACACAGCCCAAACTCTTGGGCTTAAGTGATTCTCATGCCTCAGCCAGCCAAGTAGCTGGGACTACAGGTGCTCACCACAACACCCAGCTATTTTTTGTTGCAGTTGTCATTGTTGTTTAGCAGGCCCGGGCCGGGTTTGAACCCACAGCCTCGGTGTATGTGGCTGGTGCCATAACCACTGTGCTGTGGGCGCTGAGCCAAAATAATGGGACCTTTTTTTTGAGACAAAGTCTCACTATGTTGCCAGTAGAGTGCTATGGCATCACAGCTCTCAGCCACCTTCAACTCTTGGGCTTAAGCTATTCTCTTGCCTCAGTCTCCCATCTTCACATGATTATTGTAAAGACTAAGGGAGATGGGGCGGTGCCTGTGGCTCAGTGGATAGGGCCCCTGCCCCATATACCGAGGGTGGCAGGTTCAAACCTGGCACCAGCCAAACTACAACAAAAAATAGCCAGGCATTCTGGCAGGCACCTATAGTCCCAGCTACTCAGGAGGCTGAGGCAAGAGAATTGCCTAAGCCTAGGAGTTGGAGGTTTCTTTTCTTCTTTTTTTTTTTTTTTTGAGCCAGAGCCTCAAGCTGTTGCCCTGGGTAGAGTGCCATGGCAGCACAGCTCACAGCAACCTCCAACTCCTGGGCTCAAGTGATTCT